GAGAGAGAGAGAGAGAGAGAGAGAGAGAGAGAGAGAGAGAGAGAGAGAGAGAGAAAGATGGGGGAGAGACAAATGAAGGAAAGGGGCTATAGGTATAGGGAATATGCTTATAACAACAACTAAACAAATCAGAACTATATCCCACTGATCATGTAGACGTAAAAGCATCGACTAGCATTAATTTGTGAAAAAAACCACGAGACAATTATCTGTAATCAGGAATTGAGCTTATATATTATTTGGCAATAACATTCATTACAGAAATACTGTGCACTACAAAGTTCCATCAATGCTGCAAAACAAAAAACAATGCAACATATACTTGATCAAATACTCATTTCAAAACTACCAACTATCAATATATATAGATTGAATTAAAATAGAATCACACTCTTAACAGTAAATTATATGCTCGAATAAACTGTGGACAATCCTAGACATAAAAATGTATAAAATCAAGCACCTCTTCATATTAATCACGTTCAAATCACACAAATCCTGCCATCTATCGATGGTTTTAATCGTACGCATCAATAAGATATCCGGCCTTTTCACTTCTCGCGATGTTGCACTGCGCCAGCGCCCTCTGCTGTTCTGGCATCGTTAGTCCGACTTCTCCGGGTGTCGGGTCGAGAGCCGGGACGCAATGCCGAAGCCATCTACAAACAGAAACGTTCCCGAGAACACCAGCGCCGTACCTGCAAGGCGAGAGATGGGCAGGTGTTAACGAGGCGTGGTGACAGGTGTTAACGAGAGGTAGATAGATCCAAAATGCGCGCGCAATTTACTTTCACGTACAATTACGAACACAATGTGGCACTGTGCAGACACCCGCTTGTAAATAGACAAGATTTCTTGAAAGTTCATAGTCGGATTTCTTTTAAAACATTAATAACATCATTGTTCATGGTTAAATCCTTAAATTGTTATACCTGGACAGTTTTCGGCGTCGTTCGAGCAGCTTCTTCAGAACTGCTGAATTCGTCTATCTTTACGCATGAACGAATGATTTGTTATAATACACAAGATATGTTCGTGGGGTTCCTTATCTGTGATTTATGTTGATATTAACCGATTCTGTGCACCTGCTGTTTTCGATGTGACATTCATGTACGTGCCACTGCTTGGTTACATCACGATTGAAGCTCTAAAGGTGACCCCGCAAGCACGCCCCACACACACGCATCTTCTCACACCCGTGTCGGCGCGATCTCACCGAGCAGTGTGGCTAGACGGGTGGAACGGGGTTTCCGAAGTAGAGATGGGAGATGAGGAGCGCTGAGGTAACTGGCAGAGTGATGACGCAGCGTGACGGATGAGGAGCGACGCCGCACTCCTCCGTCGACCGTAGACAGCCCACGCCCGCGTACCCAGGGCCCTGCGCGATCGCTCGAGGAAAAAACGCGGGCGAACGTGCTCTCTTGCGCGCGGGCGGCGGGATGCCGGAACGACCAGCGAGCTGCGGTGTGCGCGGCTGCCGCAGACCGAAGCGAATCTGCGTGCGACGACGACGTTGCAGTAGAGTGCCACGCGGTTGACATCTATCTGATTGACATGTGTTGGTGATTTTGTTTCTGTCAATGTGTGTTGTTTTCGTGTTGCTGCCGCGATTGGTGCTGTTGTTGGCTACTGTTTGCTTCCACGGGGTCGAATCTAGATCTGCCTGCACCACTAACAAACACTTGCCACTTTACTGATGTGCCATTCACTAATGAGCCTGGTGCCATCTCCTATATAAGGCGTGCTCTTCACTAACAAGCTACTTGGCCAACTCGCCAGGTTGCCTACATTTCTACATGCCTTGGCATTTACTAATGAGCACCCCATTGTCAAAACGGAGGCCATTGCGGAGTTCACTAACTACACTGATGCACCTGATGGGCTGTTTGGTCAGAAACTATTTTGCCCTGTAACATTACTTTTTTCTCTCGACTTGGACCTCTTACCTCTATGCGTTCATGGCGTAGAAATTATTTTAACAAGGGAGTCAACGGACTTCCCTACACTCAAAAGAGCGCACTCTCGCCAGTCAAATGAGAGGGAGCTCCGGCGTCTGAGGGTTTCAAATTTACGATATATTAAATAGCGCACCTTGTGCTTATTTTTAAGATTCGATGCGTTGCACGTCTGCCGAATTTTCTTGGGACCTTAGCTGAAAAAGTCGGCCAGTATTCGCGTGAGGTCATTGCTCTTGGGAACGAACGTACTTAGAGGAGCGGCGGGAACTTTTCAGGGAGTACGACGGACTCCTGCCCATATGATCAACATCATGTGGAGTCCGACAGTAACATCAGGCGAGTATTTGAAGTCGGACTCGCGTTATGGTCGCACCCTGCCTGTCGTGTCGCATATCAAGCTTATTTCTTATATTCACATAATCTCTCCCCTGAGACCGTTACATACATAAGACGGTGTACTGGTGGGTGCAGACGTTTCGGCCGGACAGGTAGAGCCACGTCGTGGCGGCGTCGATGTCCGACGCCGGGATCGCGAGCGGTGGTGATTGCGGTGAAGACCTTGTCGGCGTGTGCTGAGCGATGAGTTGGCGCTCACAGACGCGACACAAAGATAGGTAGACGGTAGGCGCGTGCGCGGACGAGACGCTCGTGCGGGGAGGAGTGTCCGAGCGGGGATCTTACTATTGTACGATTTTTGAATTTTATGTAATGTTTAGTTATTATACTTTTATGTCTTATGTTTTTGTTTTCTTTTTTGTTTATCTGCTCAGTATTACACACTTAGATTATACGTATATATACAGTTTACGCTTGCCACGTATGCAACTTGTTCTTGTGATTATTATAGATATTTAGCTTGTGTCT